TCTTGTCGAACATTCGCACTAGGCTCACGTGCGATGGGATATAAAACCCGAAGTATATGGCATACATTACACAGAGCAGCGGATGTTTAGGCATGCACGCGTCACTTTGCGAATGATAATGCACACTAACTCGTCGATTGGGAAAGGTGTCTGGAATCGTTGATTTAAAACAGGGAAAGAGTTGCTGCATCTAGCAGAATAATCAATTTTCATGAAAGTTTTCTTTTTGACGCGTCCTCTAAAACTAATTAATTCCAGAGATTTCAAGCATAAAACAAAAACTTTTGCTTTTGAACGTGCTGTATGAAATTGTTAAGACTGTCGACTTACGACATTCTTTCGGCTTGGCAGATTCTGCAGTTCTAGTTATTTATCTAGCACGTTTCCATCCATTGCTCCTAATGCATATTTAACTTCCATCGGGCCTGCAAGGCCGGCAGCCCGAGCATTCCGAGCGCCGACACTCGGTAAGGAATGGGCCATACTACCTGGCTAAGGCATGGTCGACTGGTAGAGCTTTTTGTGGGCTGTTGAAATCCGGATGAAGATTTTGATCTAGGTATTCAGTATTAGTTAGGTTCTCATTATTGGTATGCTTCTCATTAAACGTTCTAGTATTTGAACTGGCAGATATCTGATGCTAAGGATAGATGATGTATAAGATAAATTTCTAGTTTCCTATTTATTGTCTGCCCAAGATCTAAGGCATATTGTGGGATAGCCTTATCATTATTGCTTTCCCTTCAATTCCGATGTAATTAATATCAAATTATTCATGAAAATAAGTCATTCCAATGTAATCCTACGTAAGTCTTTATTTCTCACGCCAAAGTTTTTCCGATTACGTATTCCATCCTTTGGCAACGATTTGGCTCTCCCGGTGGAATAATAATACAGAAACACATTAATCATCTATACCAAAATACTCGAATCAATCTGAACATAACTCAAGGATTGGTTTCACGCGTTCAACGCATTTGCGTTCTGGCATCGAATCAAAAGCACGAGAATGTTTGAGTGAGATAATAAAATATTTTATATCAAAGGTTCGGTTTGGCTAATTTGTGTAAGTACGAGAGAAACGTACTGCCAAACCAACACGATCAGCCTGTTTGCGATGGCGACGGCGATCAATGCATTTTAGTCTGATCGCCATCGCCATGATGGGTATTAAATGAATTAACAAGGAACACGTTCATTTTACAACTAAAAGACTTAGCGATTTTATCCACTGCACTTTGAACGTGTATGGTGTGAACGTTGTATGGTTTCCTAAAATGGGTCAAAGATTTGGATAGCGCCATTTTCTTGCCGGTTATCGGATTATAAGTTCAAAGCTGCTTAAAACGGTTATACTTACTAATAAATTCTGAAGAATTCTAGTTTTTGAACTTTTTGATACGTATTTTAAGTCAAAAGGCATCTGTCTGTGTAATAATAAAACGATAAAAGGGTTAATTCTACTTAATCTTACAGAAAATACTATACAACTTATACTATATTAAAAAAATAAAAACTACATATAATTAATAATTAATCAAATGGCATACTACTTCCTCGTATTTAGGAAATACCGGACTAATTCTTCCGTGACAAAAGTTAATAAATCAGCGTATATCGCTATGACAAGATGTTTGACTTTTCGGCAATCGTTATCAATCAACTTTTGTGATCAACGGATCAAAAAGCAAGTAGGACTCTCTTTTTGCGAGTCATCGAATACTATACGTATTTTCAATTGACACAAACATCTAAAACTGGTGCCTACATGGGTATTGGTATGTTTCTACAGCTGCATGCGTCCGGGAAATAGGCCTATGATTTCAATAGCTAATGTACACACACACACGAACTACTTAGTCGATGCTAAATGGTCTCTAATGGCGTAATGAGTTTGAAGACTTGTCGCAGACCGCAAGGTTTGTAAATACAATACAAATAAAACTTAAAAAGGTAATTAATAAGTATGATTGTGTTAATTCCCCTTTTCATTAGGGTAACAAAGATATAGGCCGACGGAAAATAAAGGAAAACACTGGCCCTTTATGCAGTTTTAATAAGTGTCATTTTCCAATAATAAGCATCTTCTGATGCTGTCAACAGCACGTTAAGGTCATGCGAGGATTAATTAAAACCATACAGGCAGATAATGAGGAAAATACATTATAAAACCTTTTTAAACATATGGCTGGAGATCCTAAAAGGTCAACCAACTTGCAGGGTCAAAGATATTTTCGGAATATGCCCTACGTAAATGTTAAGTAGGTACATACATAAAGGTGAAACTTACGCTCAGTGTGGGTGAAATGGCGTAGGTCATGCAAACTTAAACAGAGTACTGAGATGAGAGATGTAAATTACTAAAATTGATACAAATGCTGGGATGAGCAGAACTTTTTCAAAATTAAAAACATATAAATCAACTGATAATGCAACCTGCTTACGTAAATAGTGATAACAAGATAGGTACAGTTACCTATCTTGCTCACATAATGTAAACCAGCGGATAGACAATGCAATGGTTTAACAGATAACATTATGAAATAAAATTCAGTCAGAATTCAGAAATATTCGTCACCATCTTATCTGTAAAACAATAATTTGCAAACTTACAATGAAGAAATTGAATTTAAAAACCACACATTTCATGAAATGCATCACTGGCAAAAGTTACATTTAAAAGATCAAATTTCAAATCTGTGTGTGAAATAAGTAGGCTTAATCATGGGCCATGGTTAAGATTCGGCTATTAAAAAATAACTACCTGAGTCTTGCATTGTTCATAGAAGATAAGGAATACTCAAGACTTATCAATAAAGCTACTGTTGGAAATAACTCAGGTAGTCACATAAAACAATAAAATGTTAGTAACTTTTTTGAATAATACACTTTTACCATAATTTTGGCTTTTCTGTAGTCATACACAGTGGTCAGTATTTCATATACCAATTTTATAAATTAAGGCTATAGGCTATACTGATATCAATCAGGCTTAGTAGTTTGCCTTGGGCAGTCTTGGCCTGAATGATTTGATTCCTTTCTTTTGTGTGACCATGATCCCAGATGTTTCAAGTATAAAGGTTCTTATTAGAGCTGTTGCCTATTGATAGCAATGTACAGTCAGCCAAAACCACCATATTTATAGCAAAATATCACCTATCACTATTAAATAGGTGATTCTGTGTTTAGTTTACTTATCTTGATTGAGTTGCTGTCTGTACCTTTTGTTTCTTTGTTAACCTTGGTAGTCTGATTTTAATCCAGTCCAGTCAATCTCTTAAGTATGTATATTCTGAGCATTATCAGCTGGATCAAGTCTACAGAAAAACATTTGGTATAGGAAAATTGGATGTTGCATAGATCCATTACCCAGTGCTATCAGGATTATTGTGTTATCATTTATGTTGCAAGATTTAGAAGCTAATAGAAGTAATAAGTTCAAGATAACATAATTTACTAAGGCTATAAATTAAAGATAAAGGCTACTAACTTGATATGAAATCTACAGATCTTGAAAAGAATATTTTGTTGTTTTGAAATTAATTGTATTACATTATCAGACTTAAAACCATTTCATTCAGTTGAAGACAACAATAAGTCGTCATTCATGAATCATTGACCTGTTCCTAATTAAATAACAAAGAAGTTTTGGATGTCATCAACAATTTTTACAGCTGTTATTAACATAGGTATGTATGTTAATAAGGTGGTATCGAAACATGAATTATTGTGGATAATATAATCAATGAGTCTGGCAAATGGTTCGGTTTGTGCAACTGTGCATAAACACATGCCACAGTGAACTCTATGTGTTATAATGGTACCATTAAAATGTATTTGGGTGAGTGATTGACTATGTAGTATGTACACTATCCAGGGCCTACTTACATAGCTTACATTCTTTTTTTGGGGCTAAGTTATTCTTCTATTAACATTTAATACAAGAATATGAAAACATGTCACAGGAAATAATTGTCACTGATAAATAAAAATATTGCTGAACGTCCTCCTAAGGATAGATTGCAATAAAATGAGAAAAAAAAATTTACTCATATATTTTTGTTGTCAACACGACTAGAAGAAGTTTTTTTTTTCTGGAGTAAGCCAGATTAAGACAATCAGAGTAAATATGTGCAAAAATTATAACAGTGCAAATAGAAAAATATTTATAAAATCAAATGCATTATTAAACTATTTGTATGTGAAAGATACCGAAAGGAATCATACAATTATTATACTCAATTGTGTTTATAAATAAAATCTAAAATCTTCAGCATTGTAAATGAAACTAAAGTTTCTAATGTGTGTTACTCAACTAGTACTAAGTTTAATTAATGTCTTCAAACAAGCAGATACCAATTAGAGGTAATTAGCATCACAGGCTGCACATTCATGTCACAAGCCAGGGTACAGTTACAGCCTGTCTTAGAACCACATTTAATAGTAAATGTTGACTAAATTGCTATGCACTATGTAATATTATTTCAGACTATGTAATATTTTACTTACAAGAAAAAATGTAAATTAATTTATTGTAAAATTTAAAGAACAACAAAACACAAGTTAAAAGAAACTTTGACATAAAATATTCTTATTACATCATGTGAATACTAAATAAGAATGACTGTGCATTCTAAAATTCTTTTGAAGAAATTGAGATTTCATTGTTAGATACCTAGTTAAAAGTTTTACAATGAAGTAAATAATAGGTGATAATTGTAGATCTGAAAGTGATGTTTTAAAAAGACAGTACTAAGAAATTTTTTACGTTGCAAGTAATGTTATTGTTTGAATGATAACATAGCTATAAAATGTCTATTGGGAACAAATTGCCAGCAGAGCTCTGTAACTAGCAAATATTAAAGAGATACTTCTCAGCATAAGCAGTGCAAAGTACAACACGTCTTGAGTGCTAAAGTGAACAGTAATTGTGGCAATACGACGCACATAACCTCCGCGAGACACTGTTCACATAATTATTAAAACAAAAACATGAATACCTGAATCGAGGCTCCTGTCCACGCCCCCAGTCATTTTCACTATTGTTTGACGACGTTAGTTTCACTTTAAAGCCACTGGCGGGAAACACACTTCAATCCTGGCCGACCAGCACCGTAATCCAGGCAGCAAATATAAAAAGAACCCAGTTTCAATGTCACTGAGGTAACACGAGGGTAACTTGCGAGTTTAGGACGAACCGTCAGCTCGCAGCCGTTGCCGCGATGCACTAACGAATTGCGCGCCCTACACAATAATATTGCAACTTTATTTACCTTCTCCCTCATGGAAATTAGATTCTTGGTGTTTATGTCCTTCGATATCAGCCATGTTCAATTTATTTATTTCGAGACTTGACTGAACATAGCGAACAAAATTTTTCCAACACGACGCAAGATGACAAACTTCATAGAAAAAAAAATACGTGTCACTTGTCAAATTACGGTGTTGCAAACTTAATTCTAATTTTCCTACTATTATTTTTAATACCTCAATACTTTCATAATTTTTATCATCCTGAGCTTCATGAACCCCATCCAATACTCGTTAGATACATTTAATTAGGTTATTGAATACTGAAAAAACTGTTAAAATAATCAACAGTCCAAAAATGGTAGAAAAATTCACCTTTTAGAATATTTGTGGCAAAAAGAAAACTAGTAACACTGTCTGCATCTGTCAATACTATAGTGCTGAGATAAAAGTTATTTTCGATAGCTAATATCGACGTTATTACAACAAATTGAGAATGTTACTAGGTATGCAAAATCACTTGAAACCTATGTTACAGTTAAGCTTTTACATTTACAAATACATTAGTTTTTATTTCATTCAAAAATACCCAGTAGTTATGATTTTATAGGCATTCAAAGTTCGCTTAAATATTGAGTCCCGCCGATGGTCACGTGACCCCACGTGACGTACATTCACAGTGTCTGCTCACTAGAAAACGGATATAAACATACTTAAATATTTTTTTTTGTAAATACAAACTTATTATACATATTAACACCCAGACCCATCACAGAAATTAAAATTGAACCAAACCCAAACTTTTGGGGCTCGGGTCGGAGTCCATACGTAAGCCGTGGTCGGCGTTTAGGCAAGGTTCGAATCGATGTCCGAAAGTGAGCCATTGGTCATTCATTGGTTGAGTGAGATTCGTAGTTCGAGAGTATGCCAGGGTCCTCGGGAAGGGAAGCATCGAGGACCAAAAAAATAAAGTCGTCAAAAGGGAAACTTATACAACACTCTTCTGCTTTTATTTTGGCAAAGACTTGGTTTTGAGAACTAAACAACACTCACGATGAAAAATACAAAACAAAGCGAATAACAGATATAACAGCTGTGACAATATTTTCAGTGTTGCCATGCTAATAATATGGTGATGAATAAAAATAATCGATATAAAAATCGATTGTATTTTTTGATGACTCGAAATAAGGTGTATAATAAGGTGTGTGTGAAATAAGGTTTCATTTAGTTATTTAAATATTTTTGGTAGTCTTATTGGAATATTAAAAAGGTTTTATAAATGTCATTTTAATGAATACGTGTTTAAAAAAATACTAATATTGTCATAGTCGAAAACCAATCGATATGAATCGATTCTTACCGATAAGATTCATTTTGGCAACACTGAATTGAGTGATAAAGACAGGAAGTTGTAATTATCACATAAAGTACTATTTAAATTGGATTTTTATAAAGGCAAATTGATACAAAGTTACACTAAGTGAATACTTTAAAAATTAATTAAAAATTTTTGGCAAATTCATATTTTCATTAGCAGCTTGTCCACGCCAGGCCAGAAATGAACATTGTCCTTTCAGCTTAATCGGTTGCCTGGAAGTGGGTCTTAATTCAGCTTGCAAGATTCCACCCATACAAATATGAGCCAGTCGCTGTAATATGACGTCACGCGCATAAGATGGCGGGCCGGCCGCCGCCCGCACTTTTAACATTCAATATCTTGGAAACTAATTGACGTATCGAAATAATTCTTTCACGTGTATTTTTTATTTTTAACAGAGAATACAGAAAGCTAAAAAACAAAATTAGTGAACATTCTTCATTGCCTTGTCCTTGAGACTACGTCTATACTAAACAAATAAACGCCCATTCTCCGCATTGTTTTGTTTCGGCAGTTGCAGATAAGATAGCCAGTTCCTCTGTAGTTGAGGATTCCGAACCGAGTGAAGCTCGCCTTTCTACCTTCCGCCTAATCATCAGTTTCCATGAGGTAAGTTGCAGGTGAAGGGCAAGAGATTCCTTGTTGTGGTTAAAAAAAAGGATCCCAATTGCCATTTGATAAATAAATAAATAAATAATAAATAAATCCTTTATTTAACCAAGGTTACAACTTAGTATTTAGTGGTCCCCGAACTAGGTTACACCTGTCTCTTGGGGACTGGAGTACGAGGCTTAAAATTAAATGGCGTTGGCGTTGATGATTAGATTAGAATGATTACTAATTTTTATAACGTTGTCATATTGCAAAGAAAAAAGATATTTTGTATTTTTGTATTGAATAGGCTCCAAAACTACAGGATTGATTTGAAAAATTCTTTTACAAGAAAAATCTAATTTTTTTACTAAATACCTAGATCATCTACCCATGCGAAGCCGGGGGGCGGGCCACTATAACTTAAATAATAAAAAGAAAAAAAAACCTTGCCCTTTTCTAAATATTTTTAATACACACACAAACCTTTTTTTTAAATTAAAAATCATCGATATTTTTAGTTGGGATTAGCTGTACACCACACACCACTACATCTGTCATTCTCCCTTTTTTGCAAAGGGTTGTTTGTGTGCACTCAGGTGTCAAATTTCCTTTCCAAAATATTGCATTTATTTTAATTGTTTGTGAATAAAACTAAGAAAATGCAGGTAATTTTGAAGGTTTCATTAGCCCTGTAAACTAAAAAATTGTCTGATGGTCAACTTTTGTTAATTCACGGATTTTATTTATAGAATCCCAATGAGGATACTGAATGGAATGATGTCCTCCGGGCCAAAGGGATCCTGCCGCCCAAGGAGAAGGAGGTTTCTGAAGAAGAGATCGTGAACATGATCGAGCAGACAATCCTACAAAAGCAGGCTGAAAGTGAGTATGGAGCAAGTTTGAGGTTATGGAAACACCCGAGATTATTTTTCTATTTTATTACTGAAATACTGATTCTGGTGTTAAATATTGACATGAATTTTTCTGCATCATGCAATAATTTTGGCTTGATTTTGCTAAAATCGTAGTTTTTGTGTCATATTTGTGATTCAACTAATAATATAATTTGCATTGATGACTCATAACATTTATATTTATAAATCATGTTAATTTTAGAGGACAAACAACTGTCAGAACTGGACTTGGATGGTCTCGATGAGCTCGAGGACTCTGAAGATGAAGCTGTTCTAGAAGAGTACAGAAGGAAACGGATAGCAGAGCTCAAAAAGTTGGCAGAGAAACCTCGCTTCGGAGACGTGAGGGAGGTCTCGGGGCAGGACTATGTGCAGGAGGTCAATAAAGCTGGAGAGGGCATTTGGGTGGTCATACATTTGTATAAACAAGGGTAAGAGTCTAAACTTTAACTTTGCACTGTAATAAAGAAAAAAAGCTTTTTGAGTTTTTAAACTTTCAAAAATTTTCAATGCAGTATCCAGCAGTGTGCCCTCCTCAACCAACACATGAGGCAACTGGCAGCCAAGTTTCCGTACACCAAGTTCCTGAAGGCAGTGGCTCAGACCTGCATCCCCAACTATCCCGAGAGGAACCTGCCCAGTGTGTTTGTGTACTTCGAAGGAGATATGAAAAAGCAGTTTATTGGTGTGGAGCTGAGAGGAACTGCTCTCACATGTGATGGTAAGATTTTGTAATTTTTACTGATAAAAATATCAAATGATTTGTAGGCATTGTTCAAATAACTTTTGACCTGTGAACAAACTATTAAATATTTTTTATTATGAAGAAAAACCAAACTGTTTTGTAGTGTAGTAGCTTTGTGTAGTGGATATTTTAAAAATTAGAACTTCTAGGCCCAGTTACAGTTAAGGTTTAAACTCCTATACATAATGTGACCATGAGTTTTTACTGTTTGTTCCAGAATTTGAGTTCCTACTAGGACAAGTAGGAGCAGTGGAAAGCACAATAAAAGAGGACCCCAAACCAAAGATCAAGGACAAAATGTTTGCAGACCTTGGCTCCAATGACTGGTGATGTTTGTCATAGATGAATGCTTTTCATTTGTCTATGATTTGTTAAGGAAGTGACAATAGACTTTGCTTGGGGTTGGTGGGTTCGATTCTAGCTTGTAATGCAAATATTTATTTATTTTTTGTTAAGTTACTAACTAAAGATTACTTTGATAGTATTAAAATGAATGTATTTTGAATATGAATGATAGATGTGAAATTTGGAAATTGTTATGAGCAATTTACCTATCGACCTAAGTGCACAAATTACACCTTGTTGAGTACAAGATGAAATATGTAATAAATTGTAATATTTTTTACAATACAGTTATCTCTTGTATTCATTGTGTTTCTATATCCCTGTTTGTAGTCCCAGAATGACTAGTTCTCAAAAATGAATCAAAAGTATAGAATTGAAATATCATTTTATTTCTGTAATGTCTTAAAACTAAAAATATTTACAGTATTTTCTTCCTTCTACCATAAAAGGTACAAATAAAATTATAGTTCTGGATCAAATCGGTACAGCCAGTCTTTTACACCAGCCTGTAAATTAAATTTTCAATCATCATCAATCATGTATGCAATACTTTAAACAATGTTGGCATGTAAGTATTTTGCCTAAAAATAATTTTCAGTTCAGTCAGTTGTTATTTCACAATCTTACTTTAAAGTAAGCTTTATTATGATGACTGGCAAGGTCAGATATTGGGTTTATATTCGCTGAACGAAAATAGAATTAAGAAATACGAGGCCTCAGCGTTTACAGAGGGGAGTCCACGTTTGATGAGTGGTTGTGGAAGCAGTTACAACGGTCAGTCTGCCTAACACCCTCTCAGCGTGTTGAGCGCAGCCACGGTGCGGGCGAGCGCGGATTCGGCGGGCAGGCGCGAGGCGAGCGCCAGCGCGAACGTTCGGCGCAGCAGCGAGCCCGCGTGCTCGGGAGCGGCGCACGCTAGCTCGGGCAGCGCGTCCAGCGCGCTCGCCGCTACTTCTGGCTGCCGCGACTCCAGGCACTCCAGGATCGCTTCTAGCCCTGGGAAAGGATGATGTCGTCAATAAATTGTTTACATTTGATATTATACCCTACGATCTAATTCAGGTGATGTTCACGTTTCAGTTGAAACAAATTGGAGTAGTTTTGAAAAAAATCGTAAAACTGCATATTTTATCTTAGTTCTTTGGGTATGTTTTTGAAAAGGATAATATCTACTTGAAATACAGTGTTAACCTTAGTCAATTCCTAAAAGATCATGCTTCTGAGGGCACATCATGTTGATGGCTTCCACCAGGGCCACCGAACCGTTTTACTTTTTTCGAATGATTGGTTACGTTATTCAGATTAAGCCTAGCCGCAGACTTGACTTTTTGTCAGCCGATATTTGGGCGGGCTGCTAATCATTCAGCGGACATGTATGAAAGGGCGGACATTACATCGATTTGGTATCTTCACACAAATTAAATCGGCCTCCAAAAAGTCTGCGGGTAGTCTTAACAGAACACTTGACTCACCCGGGCGTGTATCAGCGACGGCAGGCAGCAGTTTAGGCAGCAGCGAGAGCGCGGCGGCGCGCAAGATGGCGGCCGCGTGTGTTAGCCCGCCCCATGCCCCGCCCTGACGTTTAAACCACGCTTACGACTACGTTTCATACTCGCACTAAGCACACAGCACACTCGACTTACCCGGGCGTGTATCAGCGACAGCAGGCAGCAGTTTGGGCAGTAACGAGAGCGCGGCGGCTCGTAGTGGCCCGTGCGAGGACGCGCACAGCGGCGCGGCGGCGCGCAAGATGGCGGCCGCGTGCGCAGACCCGCCCCACGCACCGCCCCTGCGGTTGCCCCACGCTTAATACTCGCACACACCACACTTGACTCACCCGGGCGCGTATCAGCGACGGCAGACAGCAGTTTGGGCAGCGCGCAAGATGGCGGCCGCGGAAACTGGACCTCCCCATGCCCCGCCCCGGCGTTTATCCCACGCTTAATACTCGCACACAGCACTCTCAACTCACCCGGGCGTGTATCAGCAACGGCAGGCAGCAGTTTGGGCAGTAACGAGAGCGCGCTGGCGCGCAATATGGCGGACGCGTGCGCAGGCCCGCCCCATGCCCCGCCCCGGCGTTTATCCCACGCTTACGACTACGTTTAATACACAGCAGTCTCGACTCACCCGGGTGCGTGTCGGCGGTTACTCCACGTTTACGACTGCGTTTCATACTCGCAATAAGCATACAGCACACTCGACTCACCCGGGCGCGTATCAGCGACGGCAGGCAGCAGTTTAGACAGTAACGAGAGCGGCGCGCCGCCGCGACGACGCGCAGAGTGGCCCGGCGGCGGCTCGTAATATGGCGGCCGCGTAAACTGGACCGCCCCATGCCCCGCCTCGGCGGTTATCCCACGCTTAATACTCGCACTAAGCACACTCGACTCACCCGGGCGTGTATCAGCGACGGCAGGCAGCAGTTTAGGCAGTAGCGAGAGCGCGGCGGCTCGTAGAGGCCCGTGCGAGGACGCGCACAGCGGCGCGGCGGCGCGCAAGATGGCGGCCGCGTGCGCCGGCCCGCCCCAAGCACCGCCCCGGCGTTTATCCCACGCTTAATACTCGCACACAGCACACTCGACTTACCAGGGCACGTGTCGGCGACGGCAGGCAGCAGCGACAGCGCGGCAACTCGTAGGGGCCCATGCGAGGACGCACAGAGTGGCGCGGCGGCGCGCATAATGGCGGCCGCGTAAACTGGACCGCCCCATGCCCCGCCTCGGCGGTTATCCCACGCTTACGACTGCGTTTCATACTCGCACTAAGCATACAGCACACTCGACTCACCCGGGCGTGTATCAGCGATGGCAGGCAGTAGTTTAGACAGTAACGAGAGCGCGGCGGCGCGCAATATGGCGGCCGCATGCGCTAGACCCCCCAGGCCCCGCCCCGGCGATTATCCCACGCTTACGATACGAATACGTTTCATACTCGCAATAAGCATACAGCACACTTGACTTACCCGGGCGCGTATCAGCGACGGCAGGCAGCAGCTTAGGCAGTAACGAGAGCGCGGCGCGGCGGCGCGCAAGATGGCGGCCGCATAAACTGGGCCACCCCACGCACCGCCCCGGCGGTTATCCCACGCTTAATACTCGCACACACCACACTCGACTCACCCGGGCGTGTATCAGCAACGGCAGGCAGCATTTTGNGCATTTTGGGCAGCGCGCAAGATGGCGGCCGCGTGCGCCGGCCCGCCCCAGCTGTTATCCCACGCTTGCGACTACGCTTAATACTCGCACACAGCACATTCAACTCACCCGGGCGCGTGTCGGCGACGGCAGGCAGCAGTTTGGGCAGTAACGAGAGCGCGGCGGCTCGTAGGGGCCCGTCCCAACGTTTATCCCACGCTTACGACTACGTTTAATACACAGCAGTCTCGACTCACCCGGGTGCGTGTCGGCGGTTACTCCACGTTTACGACTACGTTTCATACTCGCACTAAGCACACAGCACACTCGACTCACCCGGGCGTGTATCAGCAACGGCAGGCAGCAGTTTGGACAGTAACGAGAGCGCGGCGGCGCGCAAGATGGCGGCCGCGTGCGCTAGCCCGCCCCAGCCCCCGCCCCGGCGTTTATCCCACGCTAACGACTACGTTTAATACACAGCAGTCTCGACTCACCCGGGCGCGTGTCGGTGGTTACCCCACGCTTACGACTACGTTTTATACTCGCACTAAGCACACTTGATACAGCACACTCAACTCACCCGGGCGTGTATCAGCGACGGCAGGCAGCAGTTTGGGCAGTGGTGAGAGCGCGGCGGCTCGTAGGGGCACGTCCCAAGTCCCGTCCCAACGTTTATCCCACGCTTACGACTACGCTTAATACACAGCACTCTCGACTCACCC